ATGCCATTAACTTTTCTTAAATTTGAAGCGTTTTTATTTTTTTATAATTAAAGTGTTTGGTTCAGATTCTTACTGCAAGTGCCTTAATCTACATACTACGTGGTGTGCTAATACACATAAGTACTATATATGCACACACATATTTGAGGTTTATCAGTAAAGATATACATATAATTAAATGGAGGCACTTTAACAAACGGCCTGCAATTAAAATGTTAATAAATAACTGTAACTGAAGCTAACACATGCACAAAAATAGAAAAAAAAAACCCACAGCTAAAATCATTTGCCAAAGGGAGGCACGGCTGCTTCCGCGTCGCCAGCTTCTGACGTCGCTGTCAGCAGCGAAAAGTGGGCGTGTGTCAGGCCAAGCGTCTACTACGCAATTGCCGGGTACAGTTAGACGAGACACGACACCAGCAACAACAACGACAACGACATGTCAGCAGCAGCAGGCAGAACAACAAATACAAGAACCGAACGAAGACCATCAAAATAAGTAGCCTGCCACAGTCTGGCTACAGCGTGTGAAGAGCGAGAGAGAGCGAGAGAGAGAGAGAGAGAGAGAGAGAGAGATAAGTAGAGATCGACAGAGTTCGGCAAGGGGGCTTCGTGCAAGGTTATTATTTATTTATAAATAAAATATTGCTGATTGCTCTCATGTGTTTAGCACGCTCTCTCTCCCCCGCCTTCACTGTCACTCTCTCATCTCGCATTCTCTCTTTTTCTCATTCCTATCAGTCTGTCTTTCAAGATTTCTACCGTGCACAATTATTCCAGTATTTGCACGTTTCATTTCATTGGATTTGCCAAATGTAAAGGAAAACAAAAATATTTTGCTTGATTTTACTTTGCGACCGTTTCTCGAAGCCCACACACAGAATACCTCCACCTCTCTTCCACTTATTGGTTTTATTGTGTTTCGAACTAGTTATTGTTTTTGTTATTGTTTCTCACATGCGCTTAGCACAAAATGCGCCGCTAACCGCATAAACGAAGCTGGGCGAACGAGGGTTAATGCGGCGTATACTTAACGCGCGCGCTTAACTAGCGTGCAAAATATTTTTGTTGTTAATCGTTGGCGTTTACAGGTTCTATTTCGCATTCTCCTTTCCGCTTCTCTTTTCTGCTGTTGCTTCTTGTTTGCATGCCGTCTCGCTTTATTTGTTGCCATTTGATAAATTTGCAAGAGCGCAGCTGCATTTTTTCTTTATTTATTTTTTTGTATTTCCTTTTGCAACTTTGCTAAGACGCAGTTCGACTCGGCACATGTCACATGGGCCCCGCGACCCGCTCCGCTCCTTCCAAGTGGCTGCTCCAAGTGTCAAATTGATTACGCAAGCGACATTGGTTAAACGCAGTTAATGAATGGAATTACTTAGCCCACCTTGTGGTGAAATGCGGGGCACGTGTACTGCAACTGTATGCATAATGAGACCCGTTCTTTTGTAATTCCCCCGTATAGACAGCCAAGTGCTGCGGGAGCAAGGCTGTGCCGTTAAATGGAGCCGTTTATATCAGAACTAGTTCGAATAATGATTCCCTAACTTGACGCCCCTGGCAAGGGGGGCACCTTGCACTGATAAAGACAAATGCCTTATGTACTTAGAGTAACAAAAGAAGTGCGAATTGGCCACTTGATGACAGCTGATAAGGTGTATTGATAAAACAAATTACAGTTACAATGACTATATAACTATCTAAAGATAAGCACCTTATGTTTTGAATAGCTTTCAGGGGAAAAGATTAATTTTAAAACGTCATTTGAGATATGTCCAATGAACAGTTAGAAAATATATCCCAGCTGCAACTAACATCCTTTTGTTATAAATCACCCTCATTTAATTACTGCATCGACTTATAAAAACTACAAAATGTTGGGCCAAAAATATGTTAACACTTTTAGGATCGCAGCCAAATAAAAATAAAAATATATTTATACAAGAGAACATACGAGCACATACTTATAAAAATACAAGTTTTATTTCAAGATATATAAAAAAAAATTAAATTAAAAAAAATAACACTAAAGAGAAAAAAACTTGGCACAGGTTCAATGGCCAATCGTCGCTGGGAAAGAAGACAACGCTAACGTGAACGTTGCCACAGACCGACCGCGAAGCCAAATTTAAAATTCCACAAATGTCATTTCAGTTTGTTTTTATTTTCCTTTTTTTTATTGAAGAGGAAGCGCCTGGCGAAGGTGTTGCAGTGTGCCAGAATTGCGCGAAAGGCGGGTTGCGGGCCGCAGGCCGCGGGCAGGCCAAAGGAAGCAAATGTCAGAGAATTGCAACGTGTTGCATAAAATTAGCCAAACACTCTAGAGAAATTCATAAAAGGCATCCCGCACTCGACTGTCCCTTTCAGCAGAAAACCGGAAAATTACAGCACTAAAAATAGTCAGAATGCACACGTTCAGCTGCAGTTGTACACTCAGAGGAATTTCATGCTCACAGCGAAAAGTTCGAATTTGATCAGTTCTTAAATGCAAGACTCAAATGCAGACATCTCTGACCCCATAAGGTATATATATTCATGATCAGTAACAACAACCGAGTCGATATAGTTCGTCTGTAGCTACCATAGGAACGATCGGTCGAACATTAAGTTCTTGCATGAAACACTTTTTTGTTTGCCAAGATATCTTGACAAAACTCGGCATTTACCATTTTTACAATGCTACTCATATATATGCAACATCCCATCAACATCGGACAACTATATCATATAGCTGCGATAGGAACCATCGGTCGAAAATTGAGTTGTTATATGGAAAACTTTTTTGTCTTTTAAGATATCTTGACCAAACTCGGTATTTATAAGTTTTACATTGTTTCCTATATTTATGCGAAATCTTATTTACATCGGATCACTATATCATATAGCTGCCATAGCAACGATTGGTCGAAAATTAAATTTTTGTATGAAAAACGTGTTTTGTTTACCAAGTTATTTTAGCCATACTTTGCATTAACTATTTTTCCTGTGCTTTTTGGATACAGGCAGAATATTATGAAAAGGTTGAGTATGCAAGGGTATTAAATCTTCGGCGTGCCGAAGATAAACCTTCATTCTCGTTAAGAACTACTTTTGCAATGTTTCAAAAGGAAAGTTTAAGAACTTAGACCCGGGTTTTTTCCGGATCTAACTATGGGCTATATTTACATCTGCATGTCACAAATGCGGCTGGCCTGGACTGAGGCTGCCCGCCTGTCTTACTGTTTTGGCTCTATGTTGAATTTACTCTTTTAGTCCGCTCGGCGCGTGTTTTATGTCAACTGCGTACTTTCTTTGCCCAATCAGCAGGCGGTGTCAGTTTTCGCAGAACACGAATCGCACTGACACATTCACGCCTAAAGCGTCATCAGAGTGCGTTCTCATTCTCCGGCGGTTTCGTTACCAGGCTGTTATTTTGCCGCGTAATCGCCGAAAAGGGATCGAAACGACAATCGGGCCGACGGAACGACACTCGACTACTTCCGCGAAAATAGCAACAGGCACATTTATAAACAATAACAATAATACATTCGCATTTATAATACGCTCATCACGCGATATTTCGCCGTACATCATCATCATCTTAAAAAAAAATATAAAACATCAAAATGGGTTTCGGATGTCGCCAGTGCAGCAAATTCTTTGGTTTTTGGTAAATGCGCAGACAGCGAGGTGTTAAAGTACAGCAACGACAGCCAGTCTGGTAAAAAATAAAAAACCAAATTCGTGATATGGCCAGAAAGTGGCGACGGGCAGAAATCACGTGCATGACGCACAACAATTCGTGCGAACCGAAACTGGGAATGGATTGCGTTCTGTTGAAATTGATAAGCTGTTCTCTAGGAACAGTTTAAACTAGTTAAATATTGTTCGTGTATTTATAATTTATGAAAACCATTTGAAACTTTTAGGAAATGTAATGTGAGTATTAAACAAAATAAATATAACTTATTCAGTTAATTTGCAAAGTGTGAAGCGCAATTTTATTGATATACAAGTGTCAATGACCTTGCGCCATTTTGATAGCTAGCAAAAGAATGAGCATGACCTTATCAGCCAAAAAAAAAATACTGTGTACATGCTAAAAAAACTTAATCAGAATTCCGATTGTTAACTGTTTTTTAACTGCCACACAATATCAGATGCTTGCATCGGGTCAAACAGAAAATAAAAAAGAAACCCTCTCACTTAATATGAATGGAAATTAAACGTGTTCTTTGTGTAAGTGTGTGCGTGTGTAACTGTTCTTCTATTTACGTATGAATGGATGTAAACAAAACGTAAGAGAGCAATGATAAAAGCGCATTAATTGCAACTTTGTGTTCTGTACATGGACCACGCAGACAGGCTAGAGGAGTTGATTGTGTTGATGAAAGGGGGGGCAGACAGGGAGGTAGCATGTGTAATATTTCATGTATTTATTAAGTAACATGCACAACAAGTGGAAACGCCAATGCAAACAGCAGACGACGACGTCGACGTCGACGGCCACTGACCGAACGACACACAACAGAAGCAGAAGCGGAATAATATGCGAAATAAAAAGAAAAAAGCACAAAACGAATACAAAAAGTAAAACAAACCAAACACGCAAAAAAAAAATGAAGAATAAAACGAAAAGCACAGCACACAATTGCCGACTCTTTCACTCCATCAGTAAATCTCTTTGGCCGTGAACTTGACCATATTCATGCTTCTTTTATTCGCACGCTATAAAGAACCGAATCGTGTTTGGAACTAGTCGAATAAACCAGTTAGCATTATGCAATAGCTCACAAATATTGTGAACTTGTGAACAGACAAAGATCAAGTGAGCGCACTAGCATAGTTGCAAGTGTTTTTTTTTTTTTAATTTTGTTGCTAATGAAGATTTTCCCTTAAAGAGAAAATGTCCATTTAAGGAGAATATGTTCCCTTAAAGGAAATTAACAACAATTGCTTCCGATGGAATTGATTGGCTAAAAGAGACTGATTTACAGCGAAGAACAAGAACTTAGGCTTACCTTCCAGCCAGCACTGCTATTCGAGTCGCCTTTATCCTTAAAGTAGGACACGTTTTGGACCATCCACTCGTAGATTTGGCTCAGCGTTAGACGCTTGTCGGTGGCGGAGCCTATGGCGTGCGTGATGAGATCGGCATAGGACAGATTGCCCCATGCGTTGCGACGGGATGAGTTCTTTTTGGCCGCATTCGCATTCTGCATGGCCTGCTGTGGATCTGCGATTGCAAGAATTTGTCAAATAGAGACAGTCGGAGTGAGATAGTTGCTTACCGCCGCTGGCCAGCTGCTGATTGCTAGCCTTGGTACTGTCCAGCTCATCGACCGGCTCCACAAAGTTCTCAGGCCGTGGACATGGCCACGTGTTGGAGCGGGCGCGCGTCTGCGGCTCGAAGCCGCCATCTGTTGGCAGCTCGCCGACCAGCTGATCCATATGCAGCCCGTTGTCCGACCGAGGCAAGTTGGGCCAGTCCTGAGCGAACCCGTCCATGATGGCAAACAGTTCGTCCTGTAGTTGCAGCTTTGTAGCTTTCTGCAGCTCGCTCCAATACTTGAAGCAGCACTGCCAAATAAAGAGAGAGAGAGAGAATGAAAGATAGAGAGAGAGAGTTAGTTAAATTGAGCGCAACTAAATGAAGCTCTTAGCAATATCCCCTCCCCCCTGATGCTCTACGCACACACTTTCAATTGATCTCCCGTTAATCATGATGCGAATTGCTCTCATTTGCAATTCCATTATATCATTTTGCAATTCCATTAAGTAATTGTGCCATGTCATTTAGTTATTAAACGAGAACACGATCTTGCTTTTACGGGTAATGGGAAAAATGATGGGACTGACATTCCATTATAATATCCGATCACGATTAGCATGTCATGGAGAAGCAGATGATATAGACGCCAGCCTAATTCGATTTTCCAATTCAGATAATTTAGCCTGTTTCAAATTGATTACGAAATACGAAATTTTTATGCTTTCAAGAAGACAGCTCATTTTGTAAAATGATTATTAAATAAAATGAATGTTTAATTACTCGATTTAACTGATTACGAAATAAAACATTTAAATGCTTTAACAGAGCGAGCTCACAAAAATATTGTCATAAACTAAAATTATAATTTCCCTCTTTTATAAATATAAAATTAATAAACTTTCTATAAGCACATTTTTAGTCCTGCCAACTTTCAGAATAATATAAAGAAGAAAAAATATTGTGACAAAAAATTAAGTAATAAATAAAACTAAAATTATAATTTCCCTGTTTTATTAATATTAAATTAATTAAATATCAATTAAAACATTTTTAATCTTTCCAACCTGCAAGGTTTGAATACAAAGAGGGATAACTGGCAGCACAAAGATCAAAAGCGATCAAAGGCGTGTTTGCTTAAGAGCGAAAATAGAGTATTTATGTAGGGGATTTATGTGTCTGGGTGTGTGTTGGCGCAATCAGCTCTGGGTTATGATCGCTCCATTGGGGGTGGTGAAAAGTCGCTGCTTTTGTAACTACATTTGGCATGCCAAACTTACTAAATGATAATATTAACAAGGTAACCAAAAGAAAGGCATCGAATTGCTGTCAAACATTTGCTTTGTGAAGCTTTTGTCAATGGACATGTTGTATATAAAGATGTGTGTATACCACACTTTTCAAAGTGTGTGTGTGTGTTACTTTGTGTGTGTGTTTGTGTGCACATTATCAAAAGTCTATTGACACTGGCCGCGCTGTCTGCATGGGGACGCTGATAAGCTACTGAAGATTGACTGCAGCTTGACGAACTTTGCACGAATTTTAAATGCTCTTATCACTCCTCTTCTTTCTTTTTTGGACAGCAGAACTTTGTTGAAATTTGTATAATACGTATAGTATATATGTATATATATATAGTGACATATCCATAGTCGCACCCACCCTTTAACATAACTTAGCACATAAGCATAAGCACAATTATAAACATTTCTAATATTGTAAACAAAGAGCCTGGTGATAACATCGACATTGGTCAAGATCAAACTGTCCCCCTTTGGTAGACATAAACAATTCACCCTAAATATCACGCCACTGTCAATGTTCCCATCAGAGTACTATCCCACGCATAATTGCTGACGCAGCTCAAACTTCACTCAATTTTGACTCAAACTCTCTCAAAGCGAAGTTTGCTAAGCGACCGCAACAGTTAGATAAATCAGTTCATATTCGGGAAGCAAATCTGAATGTACTCAACAAAAGTAGCCGTTAAGTGAAAATAATAAATTGAAATATATTTTTTTATAGTAACCTAACGTGCAAAACTTAATTGGCGCAGCCGGTAGGATACGTCGGGAAAAATTAAAGATCGCTAAAGGATAATTAATTCCCAGATCTAACGCACAATCGCGACCGAAAGTGTTGTCGGAGTGTAATAAAAATTTTCTCGAATACGTATCCGCACAAGAACCTTCGGGTCATTAGTAGCTTAATAATATTGACCCTTTGGGCAATAAAGCTACTACAGTTAATAACGACTGGCTTTGCATATCGTTTGATCCCTGCAATACGTTATTACTGAGTCTTTTTAAGACACACACACAAAAAAAAAAAAAAACATTTAACCAATAATCCATCACAAACTTTAACCTAAAATAAAAGTGCAAAATCAAAGAACAATAAAGTTCAAACCTACAAACTCAAAACTATTCAAAAAAAAGTGTATTACACCAAGATGACAATGGAATTATCAGAACAACACCTCAACCAGGCCCTTTCACAACTTAGACAGGTGCCAAGCTTTGACGGATCAACGGATCAACTAAACGCCTTCATTAAAAGGATAGATTACATCCTACACCTGTATCCAACCCGAGATGTTAGACAACATAGCATCTTATACGGAGCCATCGAATTGCAAGTCACAGGAGATGCTCAGAGAATATCACAAAGGACAGCAGCCAACACTTGGCAGGAGCTGAGAAACGCATTGATTGAAGAATACAAAGTGCAGACACCATTTGAAGAACTCCTTCGACGCTTATACAACACGAATTACCAAGGAAACGTCCGTAAGTTCATCGAGGAGCTCGAGAATAAATCTTTTGTTATATTAAATAAGTTAGCACTAGAAAATATACCTAGCAATACAACCCTTTATACAAATGCTATGAATAACACAATCAAAGATGTTATTACAAAAAAATTACCAGATAGGCTTTTCATGATGTTAGCCAGACACGACATTACGTCGACACAAAAACTAAAGCAAGTAGCTCAAAGAGAGGGATTATATGAAAATAGCTTTACTGAAAAACCTAAAAATAATAATGTTCAGGGAAATCCAAATAACAATCGTAGGAACATGGGAAATTATCAGCAAAATGCTAACCCAACCACCATTTCAAGTGGTTATTCCAACACAAATCAGAGTTATCACGCACAAAATAAACAGCACAATAAGTCCGAAGACAATCAGAAAGCTCACCACGAGTTCCAACAGAAATTAAGTCAAGGTAGATACCAAAATCCCTTAAACTACCAAAATCAGTCCCATTCACGCTTGAATGCACCAAACCCTCCGACTAAACGTCAAAGAGATAGTAACAGTGGGCAGATGAAAATGGATACATCCGAAAATTTTCATCAGCAAGCCTCGGAACAAACAGAAGAAATCCATTCATAAAATTGATTATGAATGACGAAGTTCTAAAATGTGTCATCGACACAGGTTCAACCATTAATCTAATGAAAACTAACCGCTTAAATTTTCCAGTTTACAACGAAACATTAAAGGTTCACACCATAAATGGTGTTATTGAATTAAAACAAAGTATACGATTAGGAGCAAGCAAAATTTGTCCGAGCAAACAAAAATTCTATATTCACGACTTCTCAGAGCATTATGATGTTCTGATTGGGAGAGAATACCTTGAGGCATGTCAAGCAAAAATAGACTATGCACAAGGATCCGTAACCTTAGGAGAATTTAACTTTTGTTTTAGATATAACGACGAAGAGGTCGAAGAGGACATGACCGCACAAGAGTGCCTTGATCCACCCTCAACAGAGGACAGACCATTTAACTTCGCTATAAATAATGAATTAATAGAAAACAATGAGTTTAGGCTAGAGCACCTAAACTCAGAAGAAAAAGAAAAAATAAAAAAAGTTTTACATGAATTTCGTGATATCCAGTACCATGAAGGTGACAATTTGACTTTCACTAGTACAATTAAACACAAAATTCTAACAAAACATGAGGACCCAATTTACAAGCGTCCATACAAATATCCTCAAATATACGATGAGGAAGTAAATAAACAAATAAGCGATATGATAAAACAAAATATCATACGTAAATCCAAATCCCCTTACTGCTCACCAGTAATAATCGTTCCAAAGAAAAACGATGCATCTGGAAAGCAAAAATTCCGGTTAGTCATAGATTACCGCAATCTCAATGAACTAACTATTAATGATAAATACCCTATCCCGATCATGGATGAAATATTAGACAAACTTGGAAAATGTCAATATTTCACAACCATTGATCTAGCCAAAGGCTTTCACCAAATCCAAATGGATCCTGGTTCAATACCCAAGACCGCATTTTCGACTAAACATGGCCATTACGAGTACACTCGCATGCCATTTGGTCTTAAGAATGCACCTGCAACGTTCCAACGTTGTATGAACAATCTCTTAGAAGATTTAATTTTTAAGGATTGTCTGGTCTACTTAGACGACATTATTATTTTTTCCACTTCATTGGAGGAACACATTTTGTCGCTACAAAAGGTATTTAAGAAGCTTAGAGAAGCTAACTTAAAACTACAGTTGGATAAATGCGAGTTTATGAGAAAAGAAACTGAATTTCTCGGTCACATCATCACAACTGAGGGTATAAAACCAAATCCCAACAAGATACAAGCAATTGTCAAATTCCCAATTCCAAAAACCCCAAAAGAAATTAAATCATTTCTAGGATTATGTGGTTTCTATAGGAAATTTATACCAAATTTCGCTAATATAGTAAAACCATTAACACTTAAATTAAAAAAGGGAGCAAAAATCAATATAAAAGACAGAGACTACGAACTAGCGTTTGAAAAGCTAAAAGTACTCATAACATCCGACCCAATTTTAATATACCCTAACTTCGAAAAACCATTTTCATTAACTACAGACGCGAGTAATATGGCAATAGGGGCCGTCCTTTCGCAAGAGCATAAGCCTATATGCTATGCAAGTAGAACTCTCAACGAGCATGAGTTAAATTATTCAACGATTGAAAAAGAATTATTAGCAATCGTTTGGGCCACTAAATACTTTAGGTCCTATCTCTTTGGTCGACAATTTCAAATCCTTAGTGATCACAGACCACTCGTCTGGTTAAATAATATGAAAGAACCTAACATGAAATTACAAAGGTGGAAGATCAAGCTAAATGAGTTTGATTTCCAAATTAAATACGTCCCAGGAAAAGAAAATTATGTGGCAGATGCTCTGTCCAGAATTCAATTAAACGAAAACTTCTTAGGCGAAGATACAATTAGCACAAGAGCAACAATACATAGTGCTCAAGAAGACA